CTAAAGGCTCTTTAGAATTTGTCAGATCCAGGAATAAGGAAGCATGCAAGCTGCCTTGAGTTTTTTCCGAAGATGTTGGTTCTCATGGAAAGTACCAGGTCCAAAATTGTGAGCAACTAAATACAGACTGTGCTGAGGTTTGCATTGCTGAGTCCCGTTTGTAAAAGTGAGTGTTCTCCTTTGGCATGAGGTGAGCCCCTTCCTCTGGAGTCTGTGGAGGAGGCTTCCCTGGCGCAGGGCACAGTCCCGGAGTTTTGGACTGGTCAGAGCCTCCTTCAGCATTTTGATGATTTCATAATGTGCTGGCTTTGCATTTCTGATAACTACTGAATATTGGGCAGTCCATGGGCCGTCAGGAGCTCTGTGTTAACTTCATACCTGTTCTGTGTGAGTTCTGAACTTTTCACCATCTTCTATTAATAATTGTCATTGAAGTTTTCAGCTCAGTGACTGTGATGCCATTCTGTGACTTTATAAATGCATGTAGGTTTATCACGGCAGTGCAGTTTTTCTACTGTATTTTTAGACACTTGGATTAGCTGGAATAGATTATTTTGTTGAAGTCTGCTTTTACTGAACCTCTAAATATCTTGCACAACAGCAGTTTTCAATCCTGCTATTACCAACACTCTCCTGAGAGAAATGCAGGCACCTCTGAGAAGGTGGTGGTGCCAGCCAGGTTATTTGGTGACATGAGGCTGCTAATGCCCATGCTTTTTGGATTTGGAGGGTTTCCATCTCTACTGATGACTCTGGCTGAGCTTTCATTACACTGTGGCTCCAGCCTGGCAGGAAGAAGGTTATGTTTAGCCCTGGGAGCTGGAGCTGAGGTGGTGGGCTGCAGAGAGGGCCTCGATGTGTCCAGCTGCTGTGGCTGGTATGCAGATGGGGCTGGACCCTGTTCTGCATCCTTGCACGGAAGGATGTGTGAGCACTGTATTCACCTGCCCTCCCTGGCATGAGGAGACACAGGAATGTCTCCTGGCTGCAGCACAGGCAGGAATGTCGTGGGCCAGGGAGAAGAGCAGCCTTGGCTGAGTCCTTCTGCTCCACAGGGTCCCTAGAAAAGGATCACATGGCTGTTTCCTGCTCCTTACCTGCAGGAGGATTGACATGGGCAAAACAGGTGCTGGAGCAGTGGCAACCAGACCGTAACTGTTTTGCACATGTGGGGTGACTCCCCTGTCACGTTGTCTCATTGTTTTAGGTAGCGAAGGTCAGGGAAGAAAGGGTATTATCTGAAGCATGGCAGAGTTACTGAGTATCTGCTTTTCACATGGAGACCCTCTGTCTGGTGAGAGCCTTGAGCCTGGCTCCAAGACAACTACATAACTACCTTAGTGTGCACTGATCAGGTGTCAGCTGAGGTGGGTGCAACAGTCACAAAATAAAGGCCCCCTTACACACCCCCAGGCTGGCTGATAGCATCCTTCGTTCACAGCCTTGCCTGCCTCACGGCAGCTTTGCACAGACCTTTGTCTTTGCTGCAAGTTGCTGGTGCGCTGAGGCAGAGGAGCCTGGTATGTCAGCTGCTGGGATTTCTGTGTCAAAGAGTTTGTCCGTGGAGAAAAATGATTGGAGGCTTATTTCTTTTTCCCCTAGAATATTTGTGTCTCTTCAGCTAATGGGATGACCCACCTCAAGCATGTTGTCAAGCTAAATAACTTGTTATTTCTATTTATAATGTAAATTATTTTTAAAAATTAGTAGCTAAGTTTGGATTTTTAAATATTACCATTGAGATTAAATGAATAGACATTGCAAGAGCCTGAGTGTTGATGAACACCATTTATAAGGGTTCATTATGGATAAGTAATGTGAAACCCCACCCAGACTGTGTCCAACTCTGGGGCCCCCAACATAAAAAAGATTTGGATGTGCTGGAGCAAGTTCAGAGGAGGCTCATGAAGATAATCAGAGGACGCTCATGAAGATAATCAGAGGGCTGGAACACCTCTCCTATGAAGACAGGCTGAAAGAGTTGGGGTTGTTCAGCCTGGAGAAGAGAAGGCTCTAGGGAGTCCTTACAGCAACCTTCCCGTACCTAAAGGGGGCTACAGGAGAGCTGGAGCAGGACTTTTTACAAGGGCATGTAGTGATAGGACAAAAGGGAATGACTTTAAACTGAAATAGGGTAGGTGTACATGAGATATTAGCAAGAAATTCTTCACTGTGAGAGTAATGAGGCGCTGGAACAAGGTTGTCCAGAGAAGCTGTGATGCCCCATCCCTGGAAGTGTTCTAGGCCAGGATGGGTGGGGTTTTGAGCAACCTGGTCTACTGAAAGGTGTCCCTGCCCATGATAGGGGCTTGGAACTAGATGATGTTTAAGGTCCCTACCAAGTAAAGTAGCCTGTAATTTCTGAAGTTTCTGCTATGTGTTTAGTGGTCCTTGTTACTTGGGCAACAGCTTTGCTGAGGAGGCTGTTGCTTCCTGAGCTCCGCCTTTGCTTTTGCTGGCACATCACAGGCAGAGTGTCTGGTTTCACAGCGTCAGCTCCCGGCACGGCTCTGCCCGGGGCTCACTTCACCAAAAAGTGCCTTGTCAGACAGAGGGCTGAAGAACCGCGCATGCTGCTTGGGCTTTTGCGTGTCTGTTCTGCTTTATGGCCCAGTGCACCCCATCCTCTCCAAAAAAGGAAACATCAGACAAATAGATTGTGTGCTGCCTCTTACTGTTTCACTGCTTTTATGCAAAATGCGGTGGCTCAGCAGGAAAATATCAGTCTAAAATAAAGCAGAATATTAGGCAGGTGAATCTGCAGGACAGGAGGTCTGACATGGTAGAACACCTGGCTGAGTCCGGGGACTGCCAGCAAGTGTCTGTGCTGATCTACTTACCTTTGGGCCGGGTCTGAGGCCCTGACTGCTCCACGAGGCTTATTAATAAAAAGCTGTTAAACATGATGTCTCTTTAATAGTGACTTCAACTTGATGGCTGAGAAGAGGGAGATCATTCACAAGGGTTTCCATTTCATCCCCCTTTGAACTCAACTTCTCAGTTTTTCTGGGCCTTCATCTAACTGAATTATATATTCAACTCTCTCTTTTCCTTCTAATCACTTCAGTTTTTATATTAGTGATCTGTGTGCCCATTTATTTTAATAGTAGTTCTGCCACTTAAAAAAAAAAGGTTTTCAATACCATGTAGGGTCAAGCTGCTCACCTGTGAATCATCTATGGAGTTAATGTTGAGATTTTAAAAACCTCTCTTAAAATAATTGTCACTATTTGACATTTTCATTGTTTGTAGAGTTCACATATGGCTTTCTGAGGAGGAGTTTCATCTGAGAAATCTGACTTGTTTCAGGTTTTTTTGTGTGTGCAAGTCTGATATTGCAACTTTTCTGGCTGTGTAACTCTCAGATGTGAAATTGTTGTGCAGATGCCAATGTTTGAGTTTAAATATTTTCTGTATAAAGTCTGTGGTATTCCCTCAAACAGCCATGTGTCCATAATTGGCTCTTCTGGTGACTCTGCTACAGGATCTGTAAGTTGAGAGCAAAAGGGGAAGAAAGGCAGGCAAAGCATATCTGAGATTTATTTTTTTCCACGCATCAGTAGGAATTATTTTATGTAGTACCATAGCCTTAAATTCACTACAGTTTATTTAAATAAAGTGGTATGCAAAGTAATGATGGATATTTTAGTGACTAGCTCTATTACAAAAATGTTTTTGAAATTATGAGAAGAAATTAGAAAACCTTTTTTTTTTTTGGAAATGAACTATTAACTACTGTAAGTGGAATGGATTGTCATCATGCAGTCTATTTCTGTCAGGTCAGTGACCCAGTTAGTCTGTAGTTCCAGGGAATGCCAAATTATAAATTGACATGAAACATGTCTGAAAAATGCATCTTCTGACAGATGTTATAAACTATAACAACAGGCTTGTGCCTGGTAGTGCCAGAGGCAATGCTTTCAGCTGCAAAGTTGACAATCTCTGCGCCTGTGGTGGAAAAATAGTACAGTTCACTTATTTTAGTTATCACTATTCCACATTTTTCTGACAGTGTGCTGGAGTCAACCCAACATTGCTTTCTGTACAGTTTCATCTGGAAAATGTATTGCATATCCACATCCTCTTGCATACTCATGCCGATATTTTTAATGCATGGCTAAAGGTCAGGTATTTGCAGAGGAGTTTCTAGCAGAGGCCAGGTCTTAGAAAAAATCCATGCCAAGTCCTGTGGTGTGGAGACTCACCAAGAGGACACTCCCTGGCTTGCTCATTTTAAACATAATGCTGTCTGTAATGGAAGGAACAGAAATTTGGCAACTTTTCACCAGAGCTGCGTGAGGTACGAGCACTGCAGCAGGCAGGGGGACAAGTCACCCTCTAATAGATGAGCTTTGAAGTCCGGTTTGGTAAAGAATGCCAACACCATATATTTTCTTTCCTTGTATCTTAAAGTCTTTCCACTTGCAGTCCTGAGTCATTTTCCCTAGGCTGGGCTCCTGCGTCCCTGTGCCACCCTTCTCGGGTTGTGCCGTGGTTTAGCAGGGGGTCTCCAAAGACAATGTTGTGTTTGAGGTAAGTTCAGTGACTTTCTTGTCAGCTGGTAAGATGAAGACAGGGAGCACTTGGTTTTATTCTCTACCAGAGCCTTAACTACCTTTGAGGAGTCTCTGTCTTTGTGCTCTTATTTGATGGGAGGAAGGTGATGCTGCTTTCCTCTCAGGGCCACAGTGACATTTAATGTTGTGTCTGGAATGCATTTGAAGTTAGGTGTGTAAAGGTGTATCTAACATCTGACTCCTGCCAGTGCCAGGACTTTTCTCTGTGTATCTGATAACAAACAATGATTCTACCACCTGTAAAATACTGGAGTTGCTCACAAACACACTTTCAGGCTCTCCCTATGGGGAGCAAAGTTCCCGTTCTTTGGTATCAGGTGTTTGTATTTTTAAGTACCATGCACCCTGCCTTTGTTTTCTACTAAATGTTTCCCAAAACCTCTTAAGTCACTGAGACCCATAGGTTACCACATGCTACTTGTTTATTTACTTTTTTTTTCAGAATAGAACATATTTTTAAATCAATAAAATAAATATCTACTGCAATACAAAAAATCTCCACAGCAGTACCTGAAATACAAGAAATTAAATATGCTTCTTGTAAATATCTCCTCCTCTTGTAGATCCAAATTATAAATTAAATAAATAAGAAAAACATAAATACACATTTCAAGATACAGCAATTATTAAAAAGAAATATCAATCATCTCTGCCTCCATCCTCATACTGCTTAAAGCTATTAATTAACAAATTAAATACTACAATACAACTTTCTCAACAGACAAAACTCTTGCTTCCCTGGAGTTTGTTTGGGTGCTCTATGGGTCATGTTAGCTATAAGGGCAGGTACCACAAATGCTCACTCTCCTAATTACCAATGCCACTCTCCTAATTACCAATTGCAGCAAATGGACTTTTCCCAGTGTCTCTCCACTGTCCTTATTTTTGCTTTGTTTAGGAAATGAGACAAAGAAAGGGAACAAGTGATTACTGTTCTCCTTACTCCTTGAGTCTGCATCTCTGTGCAAGGGAGCAGTCCCCCTGAACTTACTAAATTCCCCTATGTGCATAAAAATAGCATGTCCCTACAAGGCCAAGGTTTCTGGCAGGATTTCTATGGGCTAGGGAGGGGGCTGTAGTGTGGTTGGTGATATTTGTAAAAGGTGTTTTCAAGAAACTCCTGTCCATGGCTCCAGCTTGGTTCAGTCATAGAGGACCTGGTGTTGGCAGGGTCACGGTGCCCAGACTATTACACAGGGCCAATGTATCAGGCTCCAATTTAAAGGTGGGGTGGACCCCTGTGAGAAAACTGCTCTGGAACTGCTCAGGTGTGCAGCCTTCAGTGGACACTGGCATTGCTCTCACATGCTGTGGTAGGTGGCATGTGGTTAATGCTGGGTCACCATTGCCACATCCAGCACGTGGTTAACAAGGAACTGTGTTCTCCTTGCTCACAGGAGCAAGAAATAAAAGCAGGAGAGCAGATCATCCCTGTGTCAGGCTGCTGGGCCAGAAAAGGACTTTTACCTTTGGTAAGGAGGACTGAAAGTCTGTGTGATTTCTAGTTGCAAGGTTGTACTCTGAGTAGTTGAGCACTTCTGAAAGAGGAGCCTGTGACTGAAGCAGTGACAGACAACTGAATGTGAGGGCTGACAGAGATATTTCATGAAGGTCTAGTGCCTCTCTCTCTCTTTGGCAGACTCCGGAGTGGGCTCTGGCTGTATGAAAAGCCACAGTTATCTTTTTAAATAATGCTTCCACCCCACTCTACTGCCTCCTCCATCATGTCTAGCCCCACATAGGTGTCCCCTACTGGCTTCCCTGGAGCCACTGGGCACATTTTCTCTGTGAAGCTACTGTTCCACTTGCTTTCCCGTTCCAAGGATTTCAGTTGCTCAGGCTGTCAAGCTGCAAACCTTTCCTGTGTGCTGCTCTACCCTGCTCAACCCAAAGCCAGGGGGCCTGTCTCCTTTCTCTTCTGGCCAGGTGGTACCCTGGTACTTCTGAGCTGGTGGCCCCTGACCAGGGACAGTTGTCTGAGCCTCCTCACCTCAGTATGTACCATGGCACTGCTTTTGGTGGCATCTCAGTGCATTTTACTGCACTGGCTGCTGGCAAGCAAGTTTCAGATGGGAGCTTCTTCCTTCTGCTTCTGTCACAGAGTAAGACTTGTATTTTTAATTTATGCTTTGGTGCACTGGCTGTTAGATTAGAGATCATCATTATTATGAGCAACAGGATATATCCTTCCTCCAGCTTGAAAAATAAAGTTCTGTATTCAGGGAAACCAATGTCTTTTATAAGAACCAGGGGAGCACTCATAGGAGGCAAGTACTGCTCATGACTAGTGTAATATTATCTATAACTGTGGTGAAAACCTTTTTGTAAAACTGTTTGTTTCTTTTTTTGAGACAAAAACCCAAGAGGCCCTGACCAGCTATTTCTAAATTGAGAAAAAAAATTAAGCAAATTCCATTAAATCTATCTATTCATAAGCACAGGTCTCCTACATGCAAATATCTCATGTTTAGTTACCTAGTTGCACCATTTATATGTTTTCTTTCCTTCTAGTATTTTGAGCACTTAATGAAATATCCTCTACCACATGGGTAGAGGTTAAGTTGCTGACTACTACTTCACATGTAAGCAGGTTCTATGGCCGAAAGTATCCCTTGAGGTTATTCAGTTGCTCATAGCTTAATCTGGCAGAACACTTTGAAACATCAATCACAAATTTGGTACATATGTTTGCAGATTTTCTCAGTTCTGGCCCATTGTTTTAAATTTTTTGCATCTTCTACTCCAGTCTTGAAACACTGAAACTGAAGTAAGAAAAAGGTTTAGGATGTGTCATTCAACCAAGCATATCGTAAGATGTGTTTTTTTTCTCATGATACGAGAGGGGAAAGACAGCAAGCAGCAGTACACAACAAGTAGATCCCTGGGATTTAATGGCACTCTGTTACTGATCTATTGCCTTGCAGGAATACACAAACCTCTTGGTAGGCTTTTCTTGTTGTAAGTCTGAGCTGATTCAGACAGGACATAGAAAATGGTGAATGGGTCAGCAGTAGTTTCAGCATCTTTGAATCAAGATGTAAATCTAGTGGGATACTTGGGATTTTAGTATAATGCAACAAAGAAAGGCCAGTGAGTTGCATCATGTTCACCACTTTTATCTTAGTTAGCCTTTCTCCCACTGTTTTGAGGCAATGGTATGAAGTAATAAAAAGGATATTGTTTTCCTGGATGAGCTGTGTTTTGTCTGTTCTGTAAAGCACCTTGGCTAAAGGACCTTCTGCCTTTCCAAGTGATGCTGAGCCTCATCAGTCCGCCTCAAAGGCACTGTTTGTTGCCCCCAGGTACTCTGACTTCTTCTTGTGCTTCATCCACATCTTCCTTAGGAGGCTGGGTGTCCCGCACAGGTTGCCTCCTGTCAGTGGCAGGGAAGCTTCTGCTCCTGGTGGCAGGGCCAGGTCATACTCTGTTGTCTTTCTCCAGCGGTGCCTGTGGCTGGCAAATAAAGCACAGATGTGTACAGAGTGCATCTCCATGGCCCTTCTTCCCTGCTTATGGAGACCAGTCATTTAAAACCAAAAGCTGTCTCGTTGTTTCAACCAGATATGTCCGCGCTGGCCTGTCCCTGGGACTGGCAAGTCTGGAATGAGCAGGAGCTGTGCAGGACAGTGGGCTTGGATGCTGCAGCTGCCACCCTTCCACTTGGTGCCCCTGTTCCCTTGCTATCAGAGTAGACACTCACACAAGGGGATGGGCTACAAGTGGGACCACTACTAAGTGCATCCTGTCTAGCACTTGTCACCCAACAAGAAGCTGGTAAGTTGTCCAAGGAGAGAGCTGGGCCCTTCCACCAAAGTCCCAGGGACCATGTGGCAGCACCTGGGAGGGGTGAACTCCACTAGCTGAGGGGGATTTACGTGTCTCTGTACAGAGTGCGATGGCACTGTAACAATCAGCTTCTTACTGTCCCTCGGGTGGCAATGGTAGCACCTCAAATATCACATAGATCCATGTCTGAGTTAACTGCCTGCTGATGAGTGCATTTGTACTGTGGTCAAGCTGTTCCTTAATTATGCTTAAAGACATTAAAGGTTTGTGCTTTTTTTTAGTTAATTTTTTAGTTAATTTGTGGGTTTTTTTAGTTAATCATCTTTTCTAAGCTACCTCAGGGCAAATATGGTAGACTTCTTAGAGGGAAAAAATACTTGAAAATATTTATATTTTGAATTAAGATGACTTTTTTTCCAGTGATAAAAGAGTTGTAATGGGTACTGAGGCAGCTGTATAAGTGGCTGTGGCTAATGATATAGTCAGCATATCCTTTACCAATCTCTCCCTGCCTTTGGGAAGCAAGAGGCATGGCTTGGCTGGAGGGATGGGAATGAACTTACTCCTCTGTAGAAGTGCAGTCACGTGTGGGAGAGCCTGTGACAGTCACAGTTTTCACTGTGATATGGGCAACTGGAGATGGAGGAATCTGTGAGAGGAAAAAGCACATCATTAGGAAATGCCACTGATGCATAGGGGCACAGGTTCATCTGAGGAAAGAGGCTGTTTTAACAAAATCAATAAATACTGTAAATCTCTCAACAAGAGAAAGCAGGTTAGGGATTTGACTGCCCAACTCTCAACCACACAAATACCAATTGCTCTCGTGAATGTTCTCAGTGAGGTCAGCACATGACTTGTATGAGCAAGAGTTACACCTCCCATTGAAAGAGGGAGGCTTGCAGAACTTTTTAGTCCCGAGTTATTACATTTAGCTTCCTGAGGCAGTGAGGCTTTGTGCAGACTGAGCAGCCTGCCTCTTGCAGCTCCTCACAGGCAACCTCTGTGGCTACCTGGGAAGCAGATGTCTCAGCCATCATCATCCCTTGAGCATTGTGAAATGTTTCCCTGTTTTGTTGGGTGCTTCTCTGTGGCGTGGGGAGCCCTGGTTATATTCCAGTTCTGCCACAGCCCCACAAGTGCCCGATTGTCGACTCCCTCCTGGTCTTATTTGAACATAAATTGCCTGCCAGAACTGAGTCACTTTATCCCATAAATGGGTCAGTGAGCCTAGCATATCCTCCAAGACAGTAAATTAAAATGTTAGTTGCCCAGAAATAAAAAAAAAAAGTCAAAAACTGTGCTGTGATCTCATAATTTCAGGCAATAAGCATGTATTGATTTTACTGGCAATACCGAAAAATTTCTTCATGTTATTGTCACTACCATAACTGACCTTTAAGCTGTCTAGGGCTATTTCTTCTGGGATTATTCTGAGACTGGATATGTTTAAGTGTGCTTTTCAAGCATCCCAAGACTTGGAGATTTGAAATCACTTTTGCAGGCATCTTTTGCAATTTAACCATGGTAATTATCGGTAAGTTCAATTAGTTTCATTACACTGAATACCACTAATTTTGACCATCCTTCAATATTGTACTGTTGTTTTTCCCAAGTGTAGCCCAGCTTTCAGCTAGCAAGTATGTTGCAGCCATCCAAAAGAGCCTTTGAAACCTAAAGTTTTGATAGTATGGTCCAGTGTTGACCAGAAACTTCTCAGAAGATTTTTTTTCTCTTTGAAAAACCTATATTTTTTAAATGTAGGGATTTGAAAATTGGGTTTTTTTGTAAGACAAAGAAAGGAGGGAGAATGTTTTAGTAAACATGAGTAATTCTTAACCAAAACATTTTTTCTGTCCATTAAAATACAAATTTAAGGGTTTAGTATGAAGATTTTCTCATCAACTCTTTTTTGACGTTTCTGACTCACGTGATTATCATGTCAAGTTGGCATTCTGGAGAATGCAAATTATTTGATGCCTGTTGCACTGTAGAAATTAGTTTTTTCCCGATTTGTGAAATTCCCTGAGAAACAAGAGGCTAATTCCTCCCAGCTCTTGCAGGTTGCTGAGCATTCAGAACAGGAGCCTGTCTCCTTCTGTCCCAACACCCTTCCTGGTCCCCTGAGGGGTAGTTGTCCTGAGCCAGTCTCTGCTCCCAGCTAAGGATCCTATGGCAAAATTATGTCTCAAAGGTTTAACAAAGACTGTGAAATCCACATGTACTGCAACAGACTGTCATGCTGTTACTGTGGGACAAACTGAAAGGTACAACAGTTTAAGATGCATCAGACAATGGTAGTTGGTCTTGCTGTATTTACTTACCAAAGACTTTCCATCCAACAGGTGACTATAGGACTTGGATGACTCTCGTTCATTAATTCCCACTGCAAAGCATAAGAGACATGGCATTATCTGTAATTATCCCTTTGGCATATCTTGTATGAAAAGCCTCTTTTCATGCAGTATAAACTCAGATATGGACAGAGCCCAGATACAGATTATAATTCCACTAGCTTTGATTATAGCAAAAGCACAGAGTTTTCTTTACTATGACCATCTGTGATGTCAAAATAAGTGATTGTGGAATTACTTAAGTCATTCTGGGAAGTCTCTCAACTGCTTGCTCCTAGACTTTTCAAATGAGATGGTGAACTGTCCTTAGCAGACCAAGCTAAGTGGGAGGCATTCCCCTCCGGGAACACTCACATGTCTCTACATGCAAAGAGTGCTCCCATCTCCTGCTCCCCAGCAGAGGTTGGGCAACCCAGTTTTTGTGCATCCTGGAGCCCCCATTGCAGGTCTGTCCTACCTAGGAGATAATTCTCTCATTTCTGCATTGCTCTAGGGAGTTATTTTAACCTGGGCAGAGATGTGTGTTATGTCCACCTCGTCACAGAGAGGGATTTAATATTTCTGTCAGCTCGCGGCTGAGTGACACCTCTCTGCTGTCCTCAACTCTGGAGGTTACCCTTCAGTTTCAAGTGAGTGCTCGGCCAGTAACTTACCCAGGATAAATGCTCACTGACATTCCTGCTAGCTGTGCCAAGGAAATAAATGAGTGAGGGATGCCAGATTTTTTTCATGGAGTCAAATCCTCCCACTTGGCTGGGGGAATGTGGACCATTTCTACTGCTGTGACCAATGGAATACAAATAATGAAAGCAAATTTGGAAATAGTCAAGGTGCTTCTTATAGTGCTGTCTCCAGCATGACTTAGCAATCAGAACTGTCTTTTCCTTCTGGGGGCAATATTTGAGCATGACAAATGTCTTAACCAGCTTCTTGCTTCCTGCTCCACCCCCTCTAGTAATTCCATTAGGTACCTTACTGTATCCCTCACGTCAAAGTTAATGAAATTACCTCCTCTCATCTTGCATATTAGGTACTAACAGTATTCAGCAAGTAGCTCCAGGCATCAGTACTTCAGCTAATGTCCATATTTTTTTTTTATTTGGTTTTATTTGCTCTTATATTGTCTGATTCTTCTCTTCAACCTGTCCCTCTTCTTACTAGATACAGAAAATGTTCTGGCAAACTTTTAGCAAAATATCTGAAAAAAAGTAAGGCCTCATGGCTTCAGGTTTGTAGGTGCTCCCCACAGAACAGAAGTGGCTGGGTGTATTGTGAATTCCACTTCCAGAATTGCCTTCCCATACACTGAAATGGACTGTCCTTATCCTTTGTTATTTGTGTGGGATTCCTGATGCTAGCAATAAACATGCTGATGGCCTCATCAGTGCTCTTTTATGTTTTTTGTTCTAATTTAAACTAGTTTCTAAGTTCTGCCCGCTCACTTCCCTTTCCCCTCCTATGAGACCTGTTTCCCCCTTTTCTGTTCTTCTTTTTGGATTTCTACAGCTTTTCGCTTTTTTGCACCTCTCTGTCATCCTTTACTCATTTCCCCTAACAGCAGAGACCAGAAGGCCCTCCTTTCTCCCTCTCTGGCTCTCTGCCACCCTTTACCCTGCAGCCAGTCCCAGCCACTCCTCCTCCTCTCCCTGCTCCAGCCCTGAGGCTCCAGTTCTTTGTTCAGACACATCTTGGCTCTGGTCCTGGTTTGAGATCTTTCCCTATGGTCCCAAACTCAGTTTCTTCCTTCCCAGTTTCCCAGGCCCCGCTCCTGTCTGGTCTATGTTCCTTGATGGGATGGCTTATGTGCAATGCAGCTGCAGACCGGTGATGTGAGGAATATGCACCTTCATGCACCTGCTTTAATAATTTTGCATGTTTTAACAGCCAAATGCCCATTTTGTCTACCAAATACATGCCATATGGGATTTTTTTAAAGGCTTATGACTTGACTGCAACTGGGTGGTTTTCCAAAGGAGAGCAAAACACATGGTTTTGATTAAAAGGCCATCCCTTGCCAAACTGCACAGCCCTGCTCCAGCTTTGATCCTCCAAACATAACACACCAGTGTTGAAGGAGCTGAATGACCACTCTGTTTATGTTTACTCATCTCCTTGGTTTTGTATTGGCAAGCTCTATTTTTCCTTCACGAGTTCTCACAAATATGCTGAAGAAGTTTTAGTTGAAAAAAATTCAGGTCTGTGGCTGACATCCAGAATCTGAAATTTCATCTCAAATTATTATGTTCTGGCAAGTTCTAAGCAACTGAACAGGGATCTTATATAATAAGATGACTCAGGCAAATGCAGTAATTCACAATTTATCATTCTAAAATATTGTCAAGGAGTGTTTATGACTGAATAAAGTGAGTTTATGACTCCAAATAAATTGAGCAATGCCACAGTCATTATCTCATTAATTCCACTAGATATTTTAAGCACAGAATTATCCTCCAGGTACATAATAAAGCACCCGCTCCGCTGCAAACTGGAAGGCTGCAATATCTAAAAATGTCCTAAAGCTGTGGAGGAAAAAAGCCCCTTCTGTGGACTTACCGTGCTGGGCCGTGCCCTTGGCGGGGCGGGGCCCCCTCTGCCCGCCCAGGCCCCGCGCCTCGTCCTCGCTGTACAGCACCTGCAGCAGGTCACCCTGGTGGGGCCGGCGGTCGGAGATGGCCACCACCTGCAGGGAGGAGACAAAACCATCCCGTTACACTTGGCTTTGGGCATTAGGTGGTCTGTGGAGGTCATGGGGGAGCCGAAAGGCAGTTTGCTCTTCCCACTGCTTTACTGTCATCCAAAGTGGATTTTGTCAGGTGGGGGCTCTGGGATTTGTGGGATTTGTTTTGTTTGGCTCTAGCCTCTGTGCATGAGACATATAAAAATATGGGAAAATCCTGTGCAGTCTCTCTGGGACCCAGATACTTATTTACACCTTTCTGTATTCTCCTCAGGAGATTGAAATATGGTCTTTTTCAAGCTTCACTGAGTAGGATATGGCTATTAGACAGCTCAAATTTAATTTTTTATGGTGTCACATCTTGGGCAATCGATCAAACTTACACAATGAGAATTACAACTGCTATTTCCTCATGGTCTCCCCTGTCTTTTGGACTTACTTACTTACTTACACTCATGATAAAAGCAAGACTGGATTTAAGCATGGCCCCTCATGCCAAATTGTCCATTTCCTCTAATTAAGTTTTAATTCAGTTTGCCATTAATCTGCAATATTCTGAGCATGTGATTTTTTACAGAGACATAAAAATGTATACAAACCAATGCTTTGCAAAACAGGAAAGAAGAAAAACCCCAACTTGACCACTTTTAACTCCTTTGTCTCCATGTATCCTCAGGAGTCTGGAGGAGGCTATATTGTCTAAATCCTACTGACCAGCAGGAAGAGGAGCAGAAACTGCCCAATGGTAGGCAGAAATACTGCTGGAAAAGGCTAGTAAGGCAACCAAAGCCTAATCTAAGGTCTAAGAGGGGTTTTCTCCTAATTCTGTGGACTTTGACATACAGTCGAACACAGTCCCCACTTGTAAGCTACAAAAGGACATGCCCAGTGGTAAGTTAAAGTCAAAGGGACTATTGGTGTCTGAAGATAAGCACACACTAAGGTCAGCTGTGGCTGGTTCCCAGCTCTACTGACCATGAATCTGGTGCTGCTGAATAGAGTCGAGCCTCAGCATTAGTCCGATAACTCAGAAACAAGAGTGATACTGGTTGTGAGAGGCCTCCTGTTGCTGCTGAAGCTGTTGGCATTGGCTCTCTCCCAGCTGCCCCTGGACCAGTTCCAGCACCTCCCCATCCCTCTGCAGCAGCTCCTCACAGGCTGCAGGCTCCTGCGTCCACACATACCCTGACCACCTGAACCTTGCAAGCTGCTTATCAGAGGCATCATCCCCTTCACTACAATGACATCAGTGGAGACACCTGTCTTCAGTACAAATATGATGAGGCTGTGGCTGGCAGGGGTCTCTCAAGACAGCCCTTGGAACCTGCCTCATGTGAATCAAGCTTTCAAGGAATTCCACAAAGTTTAGCTCTTCCCACCGTCTCTGGAAATATGCCCAGTGCTCTTGGTCAAACTCAGACTTTATTGGTGTGTGACAGAAAATATCATCAACCCTATGCTACTGAGACACCCGAGGTCACTTATTTTGCATTGTCATGGAAAGAGCATTTTTGGTAAGTAGGATGCTGCCTGCACCTAATTCTAATCCTGAAAGTGGCTTATTTGATCAGTGTAAACCATCATGGACTTGAAACGTAACATTCTGCCTACGTGTTGCAAAGAATGAAATATGGTTTGGGGAAAGGAAGCAGGATTTTTAACTTGATTAATAGCAGGAATTATTTAGGCACATGGTTATTGTTTGCAAGATTCCTCGTTACCTGTGATATCAGTAATGCCAAAATGCCTCCAAGCAGCAGAATCTGTATAAATAAGTTACAGTACCATTTTCCATTACAGCTGGAGACAACAGTTCAACGTCTATAGCTAATGTCTTTGCAGTGTTTGGCTGTAGCACACTTTGGAAGTTCCTTATCTCTTAATTCAAGATTTCACTGTGACTTTGGCTACCTCACTCATTGCTGTAATATGTTAAGACTTATCTAGGTCAGGAAACTAAACCTGCTGCAGCACGGTTTTGATCTAAAGTGGAGCTGACATTTCTCTAGGGTACCTAGGGTAAGGCAGAAGGATCAGCTGGGAGTCACTTTTCTTTTCTAGACAAACCAGGAGATTTAAATCTGTGTGAATGGCAGAGTCAGCCAGACTGTGCAGAACTAGCAAGTTGCTCTCTAAAAACCTACTGTTTTTAGAACCTGTAAGTCCCTTGACTGGCTCAGTCTGTTTGCAGGACATTGCCTCTGAATTCAGAGCTCAGCAAAGTGTCTTTTAATGGACTTTGCCGTGCACATGACAGCATGGAGGCCTGGCTTACCCATTGCTGGAATTAGCTGTGCTAAGGGGGAAGGGGCATGAAAGACACAGGAGGGTTGAAGAGCAGCACAGATGCTGTTCCAGCCACCCCGATGCTGGACCCAAAATCCCACCACCAAACCAACAACCATCCAGAAAAGGTGACAATTAAATATATGGCTTTGGATAAAACTTTGAAGGTTAGAGGCTGAACAACCAAGTGCTTGTTAGTGGAGCAAATGCTGGATTTGTAGAGTTAAAGCTCTTTTTGATGGTCTAATATTGAGCTAATTTTTAATGTGGTAGCTCTAGCATCCACAGAGGGATTTACCACTTTCATGCAAAGTAGCCAGGTACTGTCCAGACAGTTCTACCCAAGGGATTTTGGGGCTAGAATAGCAAGGGAAGAGAAGTGAAGGATCTACTATCATTGGAAATACCTCTTAATAGGGCAACAGGAACTGCAAATAAAGATGTTCTTTAAACACTCAGCTAAAAATGAGAAGGTGTTTCCCCCCTTCGTTCACCCTTCCACAGTCATGTTTGTGCATTTCGGATGGGTTCTTGAATGTGATGGAAGTTACGCCCCCAAAAGTAAAGTCATTTGAATGTTAAATCACTTACTGTTACACTACTTGAGTATTTCTGCTGTGAAAAAAAAAGGTCTGGCAGATGTCCACATTGGTTGCTATTTTTGTCTTGCTGAGGATTAAAGTTGTGCATCCACTGCAATTGCCAGAGCAGGAGATTTCATGTTAGCTGAGGCATTTCTACAGCACTGACTACAGGTGCAGATGTAAAAGTGAAAAATAAATAATCATTCTGCTACTTTTCTGTGGGTCTAGAAATTGGCAATCACAACTTCCTCACAGGCACGTCTATTCCAGTACATGCAATTTATTTGAATGCTTGTGTATGAGCTGTAAGCAGCTGCATCCCACTGATGAAGGGGAATGCACAAACCTAAGAGTTGACTGCGCCAGTTCCTTTGGTTTGAGAGCCATCCTTGTTTTCTTTGCTGGAGCTGCAGACCATTCCTCGGGCTTGGTGCTCCACTGCTAATATGATGCTGCCTGCATCATGACTAAGAGCCAATCAAAGGACATCCTTAATCGGGGTCAGGAAAGCCCCAAAGGAGAAAACCAATCCTCTTAAAATACAGCAACAAAACAGGGACTTTCTTATCTCATTTTCTTAGGCCTTTATGAGTATAGTGCTGCCACAGCAGCTGATCCAATCCAAATTAAATATTAGATACTTCCATTTAGTAGAAACAACAACAACTATCTGCCGGGATTTGGAACATCATCGCAGACATACAGTTGCCCTTGATTTCAATGAAAGCTTAGCTGAAAGTTTTCAGCTAAATAGTTTCATGAAAAAATTTGTAAAAAAAAAAAAGATAAGTTATCTGTGCATACGTTTCATCAAGTGAGAATAGTTTACTTTTAGTTTGGACTTTTTGTCTGTTTTTATATTGCATGGAAAACAGAAGATATCAAAGGCATAATGGAAATAAAAGGCATAAGGAAATAAAAATGGGGTATCTCAAAATGGCTTAGTTTGAGTAACACTCCAGCACTCTGACTTTCATCCACATTTGAAGAGTCATTTTGAAACCTGAGCCTGAGTTACAGGACAAAAATAAGACTTTTTACCATTTGTAAAAATACACATATATATCGTGTCTACCCAAAATTGACAGGCATGTTATTGACTCAGCCTGGGAACCACTTCAGGCCTCCTGTGACATTCTGGGATCCTGTGATGTGCTTTAATAACCAAAAGATGGAACGGGAGTGAGGGCGGTAAGCAGGAGGACCTACAGTTCTGTAGGGAGATCAGGGAATCAGGAATGCAAAGAAGAGGCTCTCTACAATTGACGATGGGGCTGTGTAGTAGGATAGAGCATGGAAAAAAGAAAGGCCAAGGAGCAAAATATTTCAACAAAGTGCTAGAGAGGAGACAGGTCTGTGGTGAGAAGAAATGCTGTGGCAGAAGAGTCTCAAACCCTGTAAAAAGTGCTTGGATATACAGAAGAGAAAGAGACTGTCATTCCTGCAAATCAGTTAAAAGGATTGTGAAAGGAATTGTGAATGGGTCAAGTGGATTTAAGGAGGAAAAACTGCCTCTGAAGGCAAGAAACCTCACACCATGTGCCAAAGCACTGGAACTTAGAAAACATTTTCTCAGAGAATGAAAAATGTTCAGTTATTTTAATTTGGGGGGTACCTCAGCTACAGGGAGTGGGTAAAGCTCCATGTGTGCCCTCTGTGCTGGTGCACTGCAGGTGAGCCAAGGGCAGGCAAACATTACTGGGGCCAAGGGACAAGCATCCTCCAGTGGATGGCTCTATCAGTCATCCCTTTGGGTTGAGATTACAGTCCATTGCTTGGTGTTTTTCTCCCAAATTCCCTGGGATACTGGCTCCTTGATTAACACGTATATGTATTGCTATGATTTGTTTACTTTTGATTCTTGCCTGTCCCCCTGGCACTATTATTAAGGCTTTATGGATAAGAATTAAGTCTGTGATTCCCTCAGATGGTCCATGTTGATAAGCTTCTATGTTCCTTTTGACTGCACAGCAAGACCACATTTATTTTATTGTTTGTTTCAAAACACTTCTGTACATAAACTGCAGCTTTACAGAAACTCTCCTTTCTGTTTCCCACCCCACTCCCTACATCAGACACCGATGCACTTCTTTGCCCTGAAACATCTGCTTCCCATTTATCCACAGTATGTTTTAGGATAAGTGTAGTCAACCAGAACTAAAAAAAAAAAAAAAAAAAAAAGAGGGATAGAAAAGGAGACTTTTCTTACGTTCTTTGTTAGGATGTGCTGCGTAGTTTTGGCTCGTCTTCGGGCAGGACTACATGCTGCAAAAAGAAGAACAGGAACGTGGTCAGCCTGTAGTGGAGGTGGACACATGCCTTTAAGGAAGATTCCAGCTGAAATAACTCCCAAAAAACTCCTTTTTAATGTTGTCTCAGAGGTCATGCTCTAGCTACACAATACAGACATCCATGGGCTCAGGGCAACAGCCAAGTTTCTGCAACTCTTCCATAGGCTTCCTGGAGGAACCCTTCTCTTTCCTCAGTTTTGATCTGACCTCCCACCTGCCAATATTTCAGAAGGAAATGACTAGTCTAAACGTTATCTTGGAGAGTTCTATAATTTTATCTAGTTAGGGATTTTATCAATAAGCTCAAACTCCCTCAGGACATCATTTCACTTTTATTGCATGATGTCCAAAGCATAACATTTGCACTAAACCTAATATTTTCTTTTTCAATCCTCAAAATGACCCATTCGGTTCTCTAACTTGGGGAATTTTGCTTAAAGTCTGTTTCTTTTTTTTATTTCTTAGGCCCATGGAAACACCAAAATCACAGAACCACTAGGCAATAGATATACAAAATGCCAGGTCCATAAGCTAAGTTTTTGGCTGGACTGAAGTGAGTGGTTTTGGATGAGGGTTTTATTGGACAAAGTGAAGATTATTTAAACACTTGTTGTTTGAGTTAGAATTGAAACTGGCCTGAAAGGCTCTGTGATACTTCCAGCTTTCCCTCTCACCATGTATTACCCTCCCCTGTTTTCAGGCTACAGGAGCTACAGGATTTAGCAGCCAGTGACAGAAACAGGCCTGCAAAAACCTGCCAAATGTAGAGAATTAACTCCAGTTCTAAAGGCTGAGCCTTGGGGCAAGGCATGTGAATGAGGGTTTCCTATTCAGGCTCCACGTATAATCCAAAGGCTTTGAAGAGCCAGGAAGGTTTGTAACGGGATGGTGGGTGACTCCTGCTCCCCAGGTGAGCTTTCCTTTACATTGGCACACATTTAACTCCAGGAGTTACAATGCTTATCGCTGCTGTGTATTACTGTTTGCAAAGTTTTGAAGCTGTGTAAGCAGCTGGAGGTCATTGAAGGCTGCTGGTTACTGCAGCCAAACGGCTCTCCTCAGATGGCAGGAGTAACTGGGCTTTCCAGGGCTCCAGTACAAGCAGAGCTGGCAGTGAGACCAAAGTCACTCCTCCTAGACAGTTTGAGTATGTCTAACAGCCACCCCTCTGTGCCTCAGTGAGGGTATAAGTACTGAGCATTAGGACCACACTGGAGAAAAAGTTTTTGCCTGTTCTCTGCTGATAGTGAAACATGACAGGAATATGGGAGGTGAACAGTCTTGCCCAGGGTCCCTGAGAGTGGTTCACTGCAGCACAGGGCACTTCCACACTGAACTCATCACAAGTAAGTTATCTGCCTGTTTAGAGCTTGAGAGTGTGCTAAGCTGTCAGTTCAATTACAGTCTGTTTTGCATGGCATGATATCCTCAGGGATCCTTACTGTCTTCTCCTGCAGAACACATTTTATATTTTAAACCACAGGAGTGTGGGATGAAAGCTAGACAAACATAATAAAGATGGCTTGATTTTGTTTTCTTCCCTGGCAATATCTTGTAAGTTGTTTTTGAAGCTGCTTCAATCACCTTTAATTCTGGAATTTCATTGTGTGAGGACTAAACTAATTGCTCACAAATGAAACACTCAAGTGCAAAAAAGTTTAGTGATGCAAGTAATTAATTATCTTCTTGTCTCTCTGGTATTTTATGTATTTTACCAGACAGTGTGAGGAGCACAGTTCACAGAGATTTCTACCAGAAGCAAGTGCTTTTGTCCTGTTATAGCTACCCAGGCTGGTGCACAAGGAAGAACACATAAATGTGCCTAACAGTAATAAATTTGCATATTTTCAGAGTACATAGGATCCACAGTCGAACTTACTGCCTGTTGTCCACCAGAACAAGTGGCAAAAGGCTTACAGGGGCTGAAGAAAGGCAAGGCATGAAAGGGAAGTCACAGCACCAGCAAACATGCAGTTACTTGAATAGCCATTGAAAGAAGAGTGAATCACAGAGGTAGCCAGAAGTGACCCACTTGTGGGGGAACACAATGGCAGCAGTGCAAACAGTGGGGCTGCGGGGCTGTCCCTGCAAACACGAATCTATGCAGAGAGTGGGAGAGAAGGAAGGGAAGAATTAATCCCTGCAGACCATGTATCTGGATTTGCCTGCAAAAGAATGTTTGTATGTACAGCCCAGCTTTCAGGCAACAAATACAATTACAGTGATGTTTCACTTTGTCATTTCCACTTATATTGCAAAATTAAGCAGCTGAGAACTCATGCTCGCAGCTTGCAAGTAAAGATCTGATCTGGTCCCAGAATTTGTTTTCCCTGCTTTTCCCTGCTTTCTTGTTGCTGAAATATGCAGCCATTGAATTTAAACTAATTTGTTCAATCAAATGCAGGCTGGGCTTTGTCCGGTTCTTACTCTTCATTAGAAGCAATTAATGTTAATCATGCATTCATTTCCAGGGCATGGCTTTGGAAATGGTCCACTTATTGAGCCAGCAGACTTAAATTCAACATTCATGCAGTTCACCCACTTCATCTGAGCTGCTAACTGCTCACAGAACTTCATTCTCTTTTCTATTACGCAGAATAGCCACACAGTTGCAAGCTGTCACTTTAGCAGTTACCTCATAGGTATAGCAACACCGATTTCAGATCTCCCAATTTTATCAGTGCAAAGATTTTACACAGCCACAATGTCGAAGCACCTGCACGGATTAGCTCGTGAAAGCGGCGGCGAGTGCTGGGCTGCAGGCAGAGCAGGGCACGGCAGAGCAGAGGAGCTGCTCATTTCAAAGATTTCCCCATTGCTAAACATCCCATCCCTCCAAAAGACAACACCGTAGTGGTTGTTACATTTTGATGTACTCACATTTGGATGAAATCACAGTGGTGAAAACTTCTAAATTCTCGTCGCTGCAGCTGTAAATCTGGTGCATTTTCCACGTCTCCCTACTGACTGCCTTTCAGCTTCATGCAACCGCTCTGAACTTCTGGTAAATAGGTTTCACTAATCCAATCTGGCTCTGTGATCATTGTCCAGATCTACAAAGGACAGACTGATGCTGTGATCTCATCTCATTCCATATTCTTCATTGCAACATTTTCTGCTCCCATCTGGCTTTCTATGAATAATATTAACACAAAGATTTAATTTAGCTGTTACTTAAGCCTCTACTCAGATAGAAGCATTTTATTTAATGTCTCCTTTTACCAGTGTGGAGAATCCTCTGCAATAAATAGCTAATAATTAAAGTCTAATCTATAGGCAAACAAATGTTTACAGAAGTACTACAAGGACTTTTTAAAAAAAATTGGGTTAATTGTGTACTTTAACACATTTATCATAAAAATTTGCTTCTTCCATATAAAGAGGAGTTGATTCTAGGGGCATTAAGAAAAGTATTTTGTGCTTTACCTTTTAATTTCATGAAAAGGTACCAGAATCCTGGGCATTTCAAAGGAAAATTTAAAATGCAGATGACTAAGAAAGGGCACATCAGGCAGATGTGCATAGGTCTCTATGCCCCCTACACTTCTGTGGTTGCAGAGGGAGAGCAGGTGGCTCAGTCATAGATGGGTTCCTACATGACTTGATAGTTCTGGGGCCTAATCCCATATTTATGCACTTCAATAAAGGGTCTTCTTGCCAAAGCTTTTCATTCCTTAATGCTCCTATCAGAAATTGTTCTTTTCCACCTCTGAATATCAGCCCCCTCAACTTCTGGTGACTTACTGCTGCCACGGACACTTAAGACAGAAAATTTTGGCTTGCAGGCTCTAGCAACTGATGTAGTAGGAACACTTTCAAGTGTGAATAATGATATTAAATTATATCAGTCTAATGAATAGCCTCCATTACTACCACGTGTGTGTCTAATTAACACAAAAACAAGAGCTGTCTTCTCCTATAATAGAGGTCTGCCACCAACAGTCCCAGACGGAAAGTGCCAGTGAACATGGGCTGTCATTGTCATATTGATGAACATTTCTTATTCGAAATAATAAATACTGGTCAAATACGCATCCTGAGCCTTGAAGCATTTTGGTTGAGTGGAAGGTGTCGCTGTTTCAGGAAAGCAGTGAGTGAAGAGAAGCTGTTATCTCTTGTCACCTCCCAGGGCAGGCTCCTGCTGTCCAGCGGTAGCAAAGCCATTGTGGTGCTGGGGGCATTGTCTCAGGAAACCGTGCTGTGCTTGAAGTGGGCGGTGGGACGGCAATATAATCAACCAAAAGTTCAATTAGTTTTTGATTTATTGCGCCACATGTTCTGCTTGTATGACTGATGTCATTAACATCAGGCTCGGCTGGCACGTTCATCTGTCCCTGCCCGGCTGCCTCTGAAGGCACACACACTCAACAGATGGGGAGCTGCACGGGTGCGAAGGCAATTGTTTACCCCCCTATTGTTCCTGTGTCAAGCAATCAAACCAAATCCATTACCCACCGAGAAAAAGATCAGCGCACCGTCCATTCAGCAGTGAATGGGGCAGACGCGGTTATGCAGGAGGCTTTAAAGCTTTCAAAAGAATAAAAAAAAATAATGAAGACCAACACTGAATAGTCGATAAAAAAAAAAAAGGCTATAACAAATCTAACCCACCCTTTATTTCACCTTCAAGATATTCATAGTCTTATGAGAAGAGGGGTACTTTTGGATCCAAGTCATTGGTTTCCTAGTTCTAGGAATGACCTAGAGATATTTTCAAATAGTAGGTGAGGTTTAACTTTAGAACAAGTATTGGGTGCTTCATGCTGTCAAGGGGTGGTGGGAATGTGGACACTGAAGTGAGACTCAAGAGGTTGTTACTAGTTGGCATTCACTGTGTTACAGGGCAAGTAGGCTTTGAACACATCTTTGCAGGCACAGGATGCTCTGGGGATGAGTCACTCTGTACAAGGAGCTGATAAAAAGGCTCTCACCTCCACTTCCAAGCTGAAAAATAGGCTTTAGGAGGGCAAATATAGCATCTCTCATCAGGGATCCTCATTTGGGAATGAATTTTCCTCTGGTCATGAAAGGGAGTTTGCTGCCTTATTTTGTCCAGATCTTACAGCATAGTCGAGCACTATGAATGCCCAGAGTTTTGCAGGAAATCTTAATGTGGCTTCAAGAAAACGACTGCACATATTGGGCTATGTTTTTTCCACCTGTCTGTGAAATATTTCGGGCAAATGTCCTGGTTTAGCTATAAAATGGGTGTAATAACACCTTACAAGGAAGCTTTGCACTACAAAGCTCGACTGCATGCTACCTGCTGAACAACAGCAGGCAGTAATCTTAGACTTGAGGGAAATAACTCCACAATGTCCAACCTAGGAACTGTTCGCAGAGCCACATCAGACAATTTCATATGGTGTCTCCCTTTGGCTCCCTACTGACCTAACAAGAGTCCAGTCTGTGGTGGGAGCAGGAAACCAAACAATTTTTGACTCCGTGAATCATTGTTTTGTTCCCCAAACTGCATAAAACATCTAGAGACCAGGCTCAATTTTTTTCCTCATTGCTAAAGACAATTAATAAGCTATTAACTTACTTCACATGGTGCCCCTGCAGCCATGAGAAGACCCAAAGAAGTTTTGGCACCAGGGTATATCTTTGGCTGAAGACTCCCAAGCAAACGTGGAATCCAGATTCCTAGCTGTGATATAGCAGTTTACCAAATAGCTGAACTCTCAGTGTTGAGAGCAAAGGATCAAAATGTTTGCTGGTGCAAGAACAGGGTGACCAAAGGTGAAGAGGGACAACTGAGGAAGAGGAGGAGGAGGAGGAGGAGAAGAACTCAGGACACAAGAACAGACATAAGGTGTCTGCCAAAACACCCATCTAACCTTATCTGCAAGTCCGGGACAGGGAAGGTATTTGATTCTTGGGAATGTGGGTAGGAAGGAAATAAAGGTGGAGAAGAAGAGATATTTGCTGAGGCTGAGAGGAAAACAGCTGTTGAAAACAGCAGGAGGTTCAGTGACCCTGGTAAACATGGCAGAAAATCCCATAAACTGGTGAAATGTCCCTCTGGGGAGTTGGCAAGGGTGCTTTTCCCAAGGGCTGAATCTGTTCAGATACATTTGGAAGAAACAAGTGTAGATGCTTGTCCTGTTTACCAAGTATGTCAGAGCTGATAAACTTAAAAGTAATCGAATAAAAAAGTCAAATATGGTTACAAAAACTGTAATTAGAATTTTGAGTGATTTAAGATAAGTGTCAGAACCTCTAGACCTTATTTATCCTGGCCTCTGTGAACAAATTAATCCCTTTTCAACACAGCATTCTTCCCGTGAACTTAGTGGGAAGCATCTTGGTACTCTCTGTATAGGTAAGGAATATTGCCAAGGGATTCCCTAGACAGAGCTCTTCCCAAGGTAGGTCTCTGGCTTCTACCTGGATCTTGTACCTCGTTGTATAAGAGGCAAATCTAATCTGTACTGAGCCCCTTGAGCCTATTTCTTACTGTTAGCTGGGGAATATGATAAGGATAAACCTCAGATATTTTTGGAATGGGATTGTGAACCAGTGATGCACAGATAACCATTTAAAAATAAGATGGGATAAAACTGCACATGCATGCTGCAGGCATCTACTCTAAAACACTTCCGTGTAATGCAGTGCCAGCACCACTTTTTGTGGAAGGAAAACTGCTTCATTTCATTTTAGGGCCAGAGAATTGCAACTGCAAATGAGTGAAAAGGAAAACGAACAACAAAAAAAAGCAAAATAGAAAGTGAGCTTCTCATACATAATCCGTTATTTTTCTCTAAATGAAAGGAATAGAGAGACAGATACACTATCGATAATTTCACCTCCCACTTGTAGGAGACTGAAAATCTAGTTCAAAATTGAAGTAGAACTGCATGGTTGAAAGATCTGTGAATAAGTGAAGAATTGTCAAAAGCAACATTTGAATTTTACATTGGCTAGAAGTTGCTGTAACAGATTTTTCCTGAATGGGAATAAGATTGAGGCATTTAAGAAATATTTTGAATTTTAAATTCACTACAGGGGACCAGGTGAGAGAGATGCAAGAGCTCTTTAGTTTGGAAGGACTAATGCACAGACTTCTCTGCTAGTTGGGAAAGAAAATACCAGCCAGACATGGAAGCCAGACTGAAAGCATCACCCCACTAGTTACAGGAAGATATTGCAGGATCCTGACAAAAGAAAAAACCCACAAGTCTGGTTGGCTTCTCTTAAAAAAGTTAAATATAGATAATTGGGCATTCACAAATTTGCCCTAAGCTTGTAAAACACACTTGAGTAAGTTCATATGATGATTATCAAGAAACACAATGCCCAGGACTGCAAGGTTCAAGTCCCGCAGAGCTTGTGCCAGCAGAAGGGATTGCACTAAGCCAGTATTAAAGCTAAAGCCAGGCTGAGCACGTGGAGGCTTAACAAGCTTTCATATACTGGTCATGTACTGGAAATTCACAGAAAGCATTAAAAATGTCAACAAAGGAGCGATATGTCCAAACTGGGCTGTGACAACAATAGCTGATTAAAATGCTAAACTTTATTACATTTGTCCTTGATTTATTAATTTTTCAGGCTAATTGATCAGTGATGTCTTTATTTGCTGATAAAGTATAGTGATTTTTGTAAGATTTTTTCCCTCCTGTTTTCTTTTCTTTAAATATTTTAAGATTATTTTGACTATTGGCTCCTGCTATGAACATAACCATTTTTGGGCAAACAAGCATGTTAATAAAAGCTTGTCCTGTGGTTCCTGGATTTATGCAGTGGTAGCCCTCTTGCTCTAACTGCATACTGTGTCTCACGCCATATGCAGTAAAATCCACTGCTTGGCTAACCAGGCACAGAATACTTAGGATTTCTCCAATGGATAAGTCTAAATAATAAGGCAACTTGAACTGTCACCTTACATGTCTCTAGTATGTCCTCACACAGCCATCAAGCTCCTTTTGCCACGTGCAACACATGGGCTTTGTGGGGATGAAAGTCTTTGGAAGGTATCAAATGGCATTGCCTCCTCTGGCTCAAGTTCTGTGTGAAAATGAGCACTAGAACAAGGACCATCATTACTGGCACTCAGAAACCCCCATTTCAGAAACTTAGAAAATAGGAATTAGAAGCTGCACTAAAGGCATATAAGGAGGATCAAATTTGTGAATCCCTGTTTGATCCAGACTTAAGCTACGGGCCTGTGTGAAGCAGCCAGGTAGCACAGGAGATGGCACTGCAACAGAGGAGGTTTTAAAACAGCATGGGAGCACCAGTCTTTGAAATGTGAGAATTTTGAGGTAGCTTTTGTGCAACCATTACATCACATGACCACAGAGGATGCAGGTATGAATCTGGAGGGAGGGGACTTCCTCTGATGCCAATTATCCTAAAAGTTTTTCCAGAGATGAGATGGTTTATCTGATCTCCCTCCTGGTTTGGTCTTTGTCCTCTCTACTGATGCTGCCAAGAAGGGGTGTCAAAGATCTTCTGTTGTAAGTACTCGACTTGTTTGTAGGAATCTGATTAAAGTAGATCACCTCAGATAACAAGAGGAATTAATGCTGCAAATACATAGGAGAGGATTTTCAATCTCATAAGCTACATGGAGGTCAGTACAAGTCACACAGCAGCCTCTGAGATCTCTGATTTTCGCAGAACTGATGATCTTTACTTGTCTTTTTCCTCTCTCCCATTAGCCTTTACACTTAAGCATTTGCCTTTATTAATTCAGTTCTACTTGTAATCTGTTCTGCTGCTCTGTCCAGTATGAGGAAAGTACTGTACAGAGGTAACCCTGGGTGACAGAATACCAAAAGGGAACAGGAAAGAGATTTTTGGGCTTTGCAATGGACATGGCACATTCTCCTTAATAACTATATAGGTGTAGATTCCTCATCCTTCAGGTTTTTATGATGTTTTTTAAAATGCATATTCTGATCTTAGATGTCACCCTGAAGTCTGATGTTCATATATCCTCTCAACTTGGTCAGCCAAAAGTAGTAGACTCCTGGATCCTAGCATTTCAACTTTCTCTCTCTCTAGCGTGTAACCATGTTATATATTCACGCTCAATGTCTCAGCCGTGAACAATTGTATGCAGATGTTTGCACTCATGTCAGTTTTTCCCAGTGCCTTGCTTGCTGTGTGCATGCAGATGTCTCTGGTGAAGGACATACTTAGACTTTAAACGCCCATCAGCCGACCCTGTGCTGCCTTTGTTTGGTGCTTTGGTGATTTTAGCTTGGCTCTGTTGGGTAGGTCCCCAAACCGTGCTTTACAGTTGGTGACGTTATAATTTCTGACATGAGAAGTCACAAACGGTTACTTTACTATCAAAATCTGCCCAATAGCTCTCTCCTCAGTTTTGCCAATGGAGGAGTCCTAATTCTAGGACTTCTATTTAAAATACAAGTACAGTAGGTATGAAGCACACCAGCTTGACCACACCAAGAACTAACGTCGGGAGATGGCTACATGAAGGCTGTGGGATGTGTTATTCTAGGATGTCCTAACTGCCTGAAATGCAAATGGTGCCACTGTGAGTGTGTCTGAA